GCCCTTTAGCTCTTCTGTATCTTTGCTGAGTTTCTTTCTAGATGTTCTGTCCTTTCCTAAGAATGGTGTGTTGAAGTCTCCTACTATTTTTGTGGAACTGTCCATTTCTCTTTTCAGTGCTGTTAGAGTTTATGTATTTTGGATTTCTGTCATTGGGTATGTAAATGTTTATTACAGTTATGTCTTCAGGATGGATCATCCTTTTAATCATTATATAGTGACCCTCTTTGTCTTTTACGGTGGATTTTGTTTTAAAGTCTATTTTCTCTGAGATTAGTATTGCCACTCCTTACTTATTTTTTCCATCCTTCATTTTTAATAAACTTATGTCTTTGTTTCTAAAGTGTGTCTCTTGTAGACAGCATATTGATGGATCCTGGTTTTTTTTTTTTTAATCTATTCTGTCACTCTCTCTTTATGGGTGTATTTAAGTCTTTTATGTTCAGTGTGATTACTGATAGGTGTGAGCTTACTGCTGTCATTTTGTAGTGCTTTTTTTTTTTAGTGATGTTTTCTTTGTTCCTTACTCTCCTGTGAATTCGTTTTGTTTGTGAATTTCTTTCATTTCTTTTGTTTTTATAGATTTTGTTTTTTACTGAGACCTTACGTTTTTCTTTATTTTGATGAGTAGATTTGTTAACTTTCTTTGTGGTTGCCTTGAAATTTACCCTTATCTTCCTCGGTTTGAACCAGTCTATTATTACTTGGTATCGTCTTGCCTTCCTCTCCATTAGAAAGTTCTATACCTAAACCATTTATTTCCCCTTTTTAATTGTTCTGACGTTGCTTTCATTTACAGATTAACCTCTCTGGTTCCCTGTTATATCTTTTGGTTTTGGATCGTCCTTGACAGTTCATTTCCTAAGTTAGTATCTGGCTGGTATGATCTTGCGGCCTAGTTTCTGGCTGTGGTCTGATGTTGTCTGTTCTCAAACTGAAGGATTCTCTCTAATAATTCTTGTAAATTTGGCTTGGTTTTTACATATTCTCTTAATTTCTGTTTATCTGGAAATGTCCTAATTTCACCATCACATTTGAACGCGAGTTTTACAGGATATATTATTCTTGGTTGGCAAACTTTTTCTTTCAAGCTTTTATATATGTCGTCCCGTTGCCTCCTTGCCTGCATGGTTTCGGCTGAATAATCAGAGCTTCGTCTTGTTTCTCCTCTGTATGTGACTTTTCGTTTTTCTCGAGCTGCTTTCAGGATTCTCTCTTTGTCTTTGGTTTTAGCAAGTGTGATTATGGTTAAGACTTGGTGATTTTCTTTTGGTGTCTGTGATGGTTAAGATTGTGTGTCAACTTGGCTGGACCATGAATCTCAGTGTTTTAATGTTATCACTCCCATGATTGAATACACTGTTGAGTAGCCAATCAGATGAAAGGGAGTCTCCTCGGGGGTGTGGACTGCATCTGAATATAAGCAGATGTTCTGGCTTTTTGCTCACTCTGGATCCTGTGGCTGCCTCCTGTTGTCTCATCTCCGGTTCTTGGGACTTGAGCTGTCAGCTTATCTGCCGAACTTGGGATTCATCTATCTTCACAGACTGTGAGTGGAGCCCTGCTCTTCTGACTGCTGATCCTGGGTTCACCAGCATCTGCAGCTACGTGAATCAGGAGAAACCTTATGGTCTTGCCTGCCAATCTTGGCATTCGTCAACCTTCAGAGCCTGTGAGCAGAAACCCTGCACTCTGACCTGCTGATCTTGGGCTCGCCAGCTTCTGCGGCTGCGTGACTTGGGAGAGGCCTCTACCCTGATCCATGGACTTGGGATGTTCTAGCCTCTACAATCGCGTGAGCTGTTTCCTTGATATAAACCTCTCTCTATATGTATTTATACGCTTTACTGGTTTTGCTTCTATAGAGGATCCAGCCAAAGACAGGGTCCTATATGGGGTTCGTTGAGCTTCTTGGATGGTCAGCTTTTCATCTTTCATGATACTAGGGAAGTCTTCTGTCACCAATTCTTCAGTGATCCTCTGTGTTTTCCGTTTTCTCCCCACTTCTGGAACTCTGATAATTTGCAAAGTTTTGATTTTGACTGTATCTCACATAATTATCAGGGTTTCTTCATTTTTCTTCATTCATTTTTCTGCCTTTCCTCAAAGTTGTAGCCAAGTGTTTGTCTTCAATTTTGCTAATCCTGTCTTCCACTATTTCAAACTTGTTCCTTAGCTCTTCTATGACGCTGTCCGTTTCTGAAATCTCGTTTATCTTTTGGATTTCTAATTGTTGTTTCTGTATGATTTCTAGTTGTGAATTTATTTTGGCATTTTGTTCCTGTATTATTTTCCTGAATTCTTCCATTTCCATTTTTTGGTCTGTATTTTCCACAAATTTGTCAATTTTTCCTCATTTTTGTCTGCTTTTTGCTTCAAATCTTGGATAGCTCTGAATATTAGAGATATGAATGCCCTATCAGGTAATTCTAGTGCCTGTTCTTCTACTGGAAAGTTATCTGGTGTTTTATTTTGGATGCCTACTGGAACCAGCCTGTCCTTTTTTTTAAATATATGTTTTGATATTGTCTGCTGTCTTCGGGACATTCAGTATTTTCCCCATTTATTGATTGTAGATTTTTTTGTTTTGCCCTGCTTTTTTCTTCTATTTGGTTATGTCTGAGCGTGGCGGGCTGTATATTCTTTGTAGTTTGCTCGTTTGTGGGCACGATACTTTTCACCTCCTTGTCCAATAGGCAGGGCCAGTTGCTCAGCTATGGTGCAGTAGGGCAGGTCCAGGGGAAGGGGAGGGGTTGGGATGGGTTGTTTGTGGCACCTACTTTGACAGGGCAGGCTGGGAATCAGTTCAGGGTAGATTCTGGTAGGCCATGCCTGTGCTGCTCAGGGGTATAATGTTTAGCGCACGGTGCAGGTAGGCAGGAAGGAGGGGAGCGGTTGTAACGTGTGGAGCTAACGTGGGTATGGGAAAGAACAGAAAGAGCAGAGAGAAACAGGAGCCAAAAACAAAGAAACAAGCAAACAAACAAACGAAAAAATACACACACACACAGTCGTTGGAGCCTATCATTGGAGCGGGGAGACGAGAGATCAAGAAATGGAGAAAAATTAAAAAAAAAATTGGGGAGAAAAAAAAGGAAAACAAAGCCCCCAGGGATCCCACAGGTGCATCTGCAAAGACCAGGGAAGTGGCTCCCAGGCCACATAGTACAGCCTGGCTAGAAGCAGCAGAGGTGTCACATGGCACCAGATATTCAGGAGACAGGAAAATAAGTATAGAGAGACGAGAAACTGAGAAATGAATAAAGACAAAAAGAGAAAAAAATAAAAATAAATGCCCCCAGGGATCCCACTAACGCAGCTGCGCGGACTGAGGAACTGGCTCCCAAACCAGGCAGTACAGCCCAGCTAGACGGGGCTCCCAAGCTGTGAAAAGAAAAAAACAAAACAAAAACGAAAAAGGCCCCGGGGATCCCACCAATGTGGTGGCTCGGATTGGGGAAGCAGTTCCCCAGCTACGCGGCGCTTCACAGGCTTTTAAGAAGAGGCAAAAGCTGGCACATGGAGCCAGGTGTTTGAGAGAAAGGAGAGGGAGGTGGTAAGAGGCAGGGAAGAAACCAAAAGAATAAAAAAAAGCAACACTAGCAAAAAATTGTACTGCCAGGGCCAGCCAGTGTAGCAGGGCAAATACAAGTGGCATGGGGACGGAACCAGTGTTTCCTGGCCATGAGACTGCAGCTAGCTGGAATCAGCAGAAGCCAAGTAGGGGGGAAGAAGGGTGGCAGGGGGTGGGAAAGCATATATCGCTGGTTACCAGGTGCTCTGTCTTCTGCTGGGAGCTCCATGAAGTGCCTTCCCGTACTCCAAAAGGAGTCCAAGACGGCCAATCAGTGCTGCGTTCGCTGACAGGGGACTTCCACACATACCCTTCCTTGATCTCTGTTTTCTGTCAGTTTCCTATTCCATTCAGTGTTTGGCTGAGTTCTTTATCTCTTCATTAGATGCTTAGGGTTCCAGGATTGACGTTTGTCTCTGTTTTACTTAGTTTTTTGGGTCTTTGCTGCAGGGGGATGGCATGGTGCTTCTGTCTATAGCGCCATGTTGGCTCTGCTGGTGTGTCTATTTCTTTTTCTTGCCTTATTGCTCCAGCTAGGACTTCCAGCACAATGTTAAATACAAGTGGTAATAAAGGGCATCCTTGTCTTGTTCCTGTTCTCAAGGGGAATGTTTTCAGCCTCTCTCAATTAAGTATGATGTTGGCCCTTGGTTTTATATAGATGCCCTCTATTATGTTGAGGAATTTTCCTTCTATACCAATTTTATTGAGAGTTTTTATCAGGAATGAGTATTGGAGTTTGTCGAATGCCTTTTCTGCATCAATTGAGATGATTATGCAATTCTTTTCTTTCCTTTTATTTACGTGGTGGATTACACTGATTGATTTTCTAACATTGAACCATCCTTGCATACCTGGTATGAATCCTACTTGGCTGTGGTGTATTATTTTTTTGATATGATATTGAATTTGATTGGCTAGAATTTTGTTGAGAATTTTTGCATCAATATTCATGACAGATACTGGTGTGTAATTTTTTTTTGTGATGTCTTTGCCTGGTTTTGGTATCAGGGTTATGCTGGCTTCACAGAATGAATTTGGAAGTATCCCTTCCATTTCTATGTTCTGAAATAGCTTTGAGAAGTACTGGTGTAAGGTCTTCTCTGAATGTTTGGTAGAATTCTCCAGTGAAGCCATCTGAGCCAAGATTTTTTTTTGTTCAGATGTTTAAGTTTTGTAATAAATCTTTGGATATGTTTTTTATAAAGACTAAGTACCCATTTTAATTTTCAAAAAACTTCGTTAAAACTCTTGCAAGACTCAACTGGTTAAAGAACTGTTTTGACATTTCATGAAGAATTTCATAAAAATGTTTAAGGGAAGTGAGAGAACTAAACAAAGGCTTAATCTTTAGTTATTGTTGGCCCAGACCACATTGACTACAGCATCCCAATAAATCAATAGCTCGCAAAAGTCAGCTCCTTACCTGGTAACGTCCTGCATCCAGCACAACCATTTTGGGTGTCACGCTATTACTGGCTTCATAATCTTGGAGTGGTACATGAGCCTCTGTTAGCTGGATTCCAAAAAGAGTGGCTAGAGAATTACTGATGCAATACCTTTAAGAGGAATTAAGAAAAGTTCACTATCAGAATCTCATCTAATTCACTCTAAAAGCATTCACATTTTAAAAAAAAGGATCTAAAAGACACTTTTAAATTGGTGAAAAAAATTTAGATAATCGGAAAAGAGATGGAAATAAGGTAGCAATACTGACCACAAAACAGTTATCGTAAGGGGATGGGAATGAGGATAAATACCACCAGCATTCTCATGTGTTTAAAGCAGGGGTAGGGCAGCACAAGAAATAAAACTAAAACACAAACACTTATCTGTCCTCTGATCCAACAATCACCTGCCATGTAAAGGGGGTACCAGAGCACGCAGAGATGTGGAGCTCCAGGTGCTTTGACTACAAAATGTGGAGAAAAGGGTCTATATTTTTGAACACCATAACAAGGAAGTAATGTCCTTAATGATAGGAAAATTCACTCTCTTATGGAGCTCTAGATGGAAAATTTTCAGTAAGAGCTTTTGCAGGCTCACTCAAATTCTTCAGGTGCTAACTCTAGCAGACAAGTAGTGACACTGACATAAGAATACAAGTAATGTGAAGTAAAGAGCAATTTTTGTTTTAAAAGAGAGTTGTGAAAATAGAAGTGAACAGTGATTTGCCCCAACTGCCAAAGCAATGGCAAGCAAAATGGCACAGACGAATTCAAATCAGAAAACAGCACTATGAAGAAACTCCTTTCTGACTTACGCTATCTTCTTGCAAACGGCTAAAGCACAGAAAAGTATGTCATTTTCTTCATGCCACTTGCACCTGTACAAGAAAAAGTGGACTTTAATACCCTGATATAACTGAAATAGCACTGCTTGAGGGTTTTTATATGCCAGATTTCTAACTTACCTAATTGAAATCATTTAAGAAAACTTGTTACTTAAAGGTTAAGTTTTCTAATCAAACACATAAAAATACATATATTTTAAAAACAGAAAGACTCCTTATGTCACTGCTTCTGATGCAAATTCACGATACTATATGAACTACACATATCATAATAGTTACATTTTACCTTGAAACAAAATGAGTACTCTAGAGGCACCTGACTAACTACGGTTAACATGTAGTCATTCAACCAACATTTACTGAGTGAACACTATTTGCCAGGCAGTGCTCTAGGAACCAGGGATACAGTAGCAAATGAAACAGACAAAAATTCTTGTCCACAAATACTTACAGTCTAGTGGGGAAGACAGATCAAAAAGGATACGTTAGTATAATACACAGTAAGTTAGATAATGGTAAGTTCTAAGGAGAAAAAAATAAAGAAAAATACAGTATGAAATGTTGGACAAGGAGTGACATTTTAGATCAGGAGGCTAGGAAAGGCATCATTGAGAAGCTGATGTTTGAGTGGAGATATAAAGGAAATAACCAAAATAAATGGTATGATTAAATACAAGGTTACACACACCAAAACAACATACTTTCATGATGAGAGTCACTATATAATTGTACATATCTTTCCACTGAGTATACACTTAAGACTGTTTAGACACAGAACAGTAAGTACTATTTGCATAATACAAAGCTTACTTCAATTTAGCAAGAATCTTCATTTAAAATTAAAACATGCTAAACAGTTAAGTGTAAAAAGTCAGGTATTTCCATTTGGTCACTAACTGAATGGAAGACTATCTAAAAACAAGATTTAAAACTTTCCACTGCTTTCCAAAAAAGTGATTCAGTGTTACTAAATAAAATCTTAGGCTAAAACTAAACCTAAGTGCTTAGACTACCACATAGAATTCAGTAATCTTTAGTTTCTAGTTTTGTACCTTGCCCAGCACTTAAACCCCAACAGTACCTATACCTCATATACACATCTTTCATTGGCGAGCAGACTTGAAATGGAAAGCAATTAAAAAACTAATATACTTCAGGATTAAAGCAAACAATAAAACTACAAAAAAGCTTGATTTCAGGGAAAAATGCCTCAAAATCTAAATTATACTGCTAAAAACGACAATGTTTTTATTAGTTTTTACTCATACTTCTCTGTTCCCCTAAATCACCCCACCAAACCCCCTAAAAATATAATGTTTACTTCCAACACATGTCTACCAGTTGTCCTACTGTGGTGGCTTGCACATTGCTGTGATACTGGAAGCTTTGCGACCAGTCTTTCAAACACCAAAAGTGTCACCCTTGGTGGGCAGGTTTCAGTGGAGCTTCCAGACTAAGACAGACTAGGAAGAAGGCCCTGGCCATCTACTTCTGAAAAAGTAGGCCAGTAAAAACCTTATGAATAGCAGTGGAACGTTATCTGACATAGTGCTGGAAGATGAGGCCCTCAGGTTGGAAGGTGCCCAAAATATGAGTGGGGAAGAGCTGCCTCCTCAAAGTAGTCAACCTTAATGACATGGATGGAGTCAAGCTTTCAGACCTTCATTTACTGATGTGGCATGACTCAAACTGAGAAGAAACAGCTGCAAACATCCATTAAATCAGAAAGTGGAATGTACAAAGTATGAACCTAGGAAAATTGGAAGTTGACAAAAATGCAATGGAACGCATAAACATCGATACCCTAGGCATTAGTGAGCTGAAGTGGACTGGCATTGGCCATTCTGAATGGGATAATCATATCGTCTACTATGCCAGGAATGACAAATTGAAGAGGAATGAGTCCTGTTCATCATCAAAAAGACCATTTCAAGATATATACTGAAGTACAACACTGTCAGTGACAGGATAATATCCATATGCCTAGAAGGAAGACCAATTAATATGACCATTATTCAAATTTACACACCAACCACTAAGGCCAAAGATGAGGAAACTGAAGATTTTTACCAACTTCTGCAGTCTGAAATTGATCAAACATGCAACCAAGATGCAACTGATAATTACTGGTGACTGGAACGCCAAAGTTGGAAACGAAGGATCAGTAGTTCGAAAATATGGCCTTAGTCATAAAAAACAATGCCAGAGATGGCATGATAGAATTCTGTAAGACCAATGACTTCTTCATCGCAAATACCTTTTTTTCAACAACATAAACAGTGACTATACACATCGACTTCACCAGATGGAATACACAGGAAAACGAATCAACTACAGCTGTGTAAAGAGACAATGCCAAAGCTAAATATCTTAAGACAGAAAATAGGCCAGGGGCCAACTGTGGAACAGATCAAATAGCTCACGTCCAAGTTCAAGTTGAAGAAAATCAGAACAATTACACGAGAGTATATCCCTTGAGTATATCCCACCTGAATTTAGAGGCCTTCTCAAGAATAGATCTGACACGTTGAACACTAATGACTGAAGATCAGACGTGTGGAATGACATCAAAGACATCATACATGAAGAAAGCAAGAGGTCATTAAAAAGAAAGGGAAGACCAAAATGGGTATCAGAAGAGACTGAAACTTGCTCTTGAACGCAGAGTAGCTAAAGTAAAAGGAAGAGGTGATGAACTAAGAGAGCTGAAGAGAAGATTTTAAAGGGTGGCTTGAGAAGACAAAGTAAAGTATTATAGTGAAATGTGCAAAGACCTGGAGATAGAAAACCAAAAGGGAAAAACATGCTCAGCATTTCTAAAGCAGAAAAAATTAAAAAAAAAATTCAAGCCTTGAGTTGCAATATTCAAGGACTCTACGGGGAAAATATTAAACAACACAGGAAGTATCAAAAAAAGACTGGAAGGAATGCACAGAATTACTGTACCAAAAAGAATTGGTAGACATTCAATCATTTCAGGAGGCAGCATATGATTACCAGCTGATGGTATTGAAGGAAGAGGTCCCAGCTACACTGAAGGCGCTGGTGAAAAACAAGGCTCCAGGAATTGACACAGAATACCAATTGAGATGTTTCAACAAATGGATGTAGCACTAGAAGCGCTCACCTGAAATGCCAAGAAATTTAAACACAGCTAACTGGCCACTGGACTGGAAGTGATCCATACTTGTACCCATTCCAAAGAAAGGTGATCCAACAGAATGCAGAAATTACTGAATAACATCGTTAATATCACACACAAGTACAATGCTGCTAAAGATCTTTCAAAAGTGGCTACAGCAGTATGTCAACAGGGAACTGCTAGAAATTCGAGCTGGATTCAGAAGAGGACATGGAATGAGGAATATCATTACTGATGTCAGATGGATCTTGGCTTAAAGCAGAGAATACCTGAAAGATGTTTACCTGTGTTTTATTGACTATGCAAACGCATTCAACTGTGTGGATCATAACAAAGAACAGATAACACTGCCAAGAATGGGAATTCCAGAACTCTTAATTGTGCTCACGAGGAACCTGTACTTAAACCAAGCAGTCGTTTGAACAGAATAAGGGGATACCATGTGGTTTAAAGTAAAGAAAGGTGTGCGTCAGGGTTGCAGCCTTTTCTCATATTTATTCAATCTGTATGCTGAGCAAATAATTCGAGAAGCTGGACTATATGAAGAACAACATGGCATCAGGATTGCAGGAAGACCCATTAACAACCTGCAATATGCGTATGACACAACCTTGTCTGCTGAAAGTGAAGAGGCCCTGAAGCACTTACTGATGAAGATCAAAGACTACAGCCTTCAGCATGGATTACACCCCTACATAAAGAAAACAAAATCCTCACAACTGGACCAATAAGCAACATCATGATAAATGGAGAAAAACTGAAGTTGTCAGAAGATTTCATTCTACTTGGATCCACAATCAACGCCCATAGAAGCAGCAGTCAAGAAATAAAACAATCTATTGCACTGGGCAAATCTGCTGCAAAAGACCTCTTTAAAGTGTTAAAAAGCAAAGATGTCTCTTTGAGGACTAAGGTGGGCCTGACTCAAGCCACGGTGTTTTCAATCACCTCACATGCATGTGAAAGCTAGACAATGCATAAGAAAGATTAAAGAATCAATGCCTTTGAATTGTGGTGTTGGTGAAGAATACTGAATATACCATGAACTGCCAGAAGAACAAACAAATATGCCTTGAAAAAAGTACAGCCAGAATGCTCCTTAGAAGCGAGGATGACGAGACTTCATCTCACATACTTCGCACATGTTATCAGGAGGGACCAATCCCTGGAACAAGACATCATGCTTGGTAAAGTATGGGGTCATCAAAAAAGAGGAACACCCTCAACAAGATGGACATGGTGGCTGCAACAATTGACCTCAAGCGTAACAATGGTTGTAAGGATGGCACAGGCCTGCTGTACACAGGGTCTCTGTGAGTTGGAACTGACTCAACAGCACCTAACAATGTTTACTTTGCCGACTCAAATCTAGCTCCAACTTTAATTCATCTCAAGTATGTTTCTTTCATGAAAATCCACTCCGAAGTCCTAACACCAGGCCACAAGCGAGTGTGTCATTTAAGTTCACAGCCTACTCTCAAAGCACTAGCACTATCTCAGTCAAATGATGCGTAGCATAAAGGCCTTCACACTCCTCTTTTTCTCTATCTCAAAAGAACTCAGTGATCTCCTTTCCTCCTATTTTAAGATTAAAATACTTCTTTTTAGAGATAACCTCCACCTTTACCTGCTTTATATTTATAAACCACTGTCATCCTACAGATATGTACACTTCATGCTCTAGTCAAACTGATTCACTGTTTTTTCTCAAACAGTCAGTGTGCTTTCCATTTCTCTGAGCCATTGTTTAGGCCACTCTCTTCAACCCAAATATCTGGTTATAGAAATTCTATCCATCTTTCCAGAAAAATCAAATAAAACATTTATTCCATAAAGTGTTTGATATTTTTTAATTCTTCCACTGAAGTAATTTCTCCTCTGTATGATCCAC